TCTGGACGGCTGCTCACGGCGGCTGCTGGCCACTCACGCTGGCTGCTGGCTACACACAGTAGCCCATGGCAACCCACTGCCGCAGGGCCTGCAGCCTACACCGTCGCTGGCGACTCACAGCAGCCCAGCTCCAGGTTGAGCTGTTGTTCAGCATCTTAGCTGTAGAGGGAAGTGTCACTGGCCCTCATATGTGGGATCCGAACCGGGGCCCTCTGGCATCCCAAGCCAGCTCTTAACCATCACGCCACTCAGCCGGCCCTCTACTGAAACTTCTAATCAAGATCTCCAATTACTATGCTGTGGTTAAATCAGTAGACACTTACCAATCTTTATTTAACTTGATTTCTCCAAAGCATTTCATGATTCCTTTTTTCTTAAGACATTCTCTTTTCCTTGACTTTGACTTCTTGTAGTTTTCCTCCACTTTGGGTGTCCCTTTGTAGCTCCTCTTCCATTGCCCATCCCTTAAAAGTCAGTATTCTTCAGGGCTCTGTCCCAGGCCCTGTGATGCTCTCCATTTTACACACTCTCCCTGAGTGATCTCATCCACTGCTGCGGAGTCTACTTCCCTATTTTTATTGATGACTCTTCTCTTCGGTGCTGTAGGCCCCCAAAGCCAACTACCTACTAGATATTTTTACTTGGGAAGCCCTCAGGCACTTCAAAATCAAAATGTCCAAAACCGAATGAATATAACCAAAATTTTTTCTTTCTTTTTTTTTTTTTGGTAAGATTTTTTTTTTTATTGAGGAATTGGGGAAGGGGAACAGAGTTGGGGAATCGGGAAAGGGGAACAGACAAGTTGCTGTCCTTTTGTTCTTCAGTCTAGTTGTGGAGGACGTCACTTCACTGGCCCATGTTGGTATTATCATTGCGCTCTTCCCGGCTGAGGCAGTCATTTGCCAGCCATTGGATAGCCGCTCACGGCTGCTCATGGCCGCTCACACCCGCTGCCGGCCAGCCCCACTGTAGCCTATGCCATCACCAGCAACCCATGGCAGCCCGGCTCCAGGTCGAGCTATTGTTCACCATCTTAGCTGTAGAGGGCGCAGCATCACAGGCCCTCATGTCGGATCCTAACCAGGGCCCTGCTGCTCAGAGCTGGTTTCCCAAGCCAACTCCTAACCAACACGCCACTCAGCTGGCCCTCCCCTGTGTTTCTTATTTCAGTGAAAGGCACTGCCATTTACCAGTTGCCTAAACCAGAAATGCAGGATGCCAATCCCTCCTTATCCCTCTCACTTTGCATAGCCATTGTTCCCCAAGTCTTATTAACTCCATCTCCTAAGTCAGAGCTTTATACATTTTAGCATGAATAAGAGTCACAGGGGGGGCTTGTTAAAACACAGACTCCTGGATTCTGTCCTAGAAACTCTGATTTAATAGCGGTGGGGGTGGGAGGAAGGACCAAGAATCTTAGACTCTGCATTTCTTTTTTAATCAAAGTTTATTGGGGTGACAAAGGTTAGTAAAGTTACATAGGTTTCAGGTGTACAGTTCTGTAATACAACATCTATATATCACATTGTGTATTTACCACCCAGATTCAGTTTTTCCATCACCATATATTTAATCCATTTTATCCTCATCTACCATCCCCTTACCCCCCTTACCCTCTGGTAACCACTAAACTATTGTCTGTGCCTATGAGTTTTTGTTTCTTTATTTGTTTGTCTTGTTTCTTTGTTGTTTTCAGTTTTATATCCCACATATCAGTGAAGTCATATGGTTCTCCACTTTTTCTGTCTGACTTATTTCGCTTAGCATAATAATCTCAAGATCCATCCATGTTGTGGCAAATGGCACTATTTCATCTTTTCTTATGGCAGAGTAGTATTCAATTGTGTATATATACCACATCTTCTTTATCTAATCATCTATCAAAGGACAGTTTGGTTGTTTCCATAGAATCTGCATTTCTAACAAGCTTCCAGCTGACCACACTTCTTGTCTTACTGTCCTAAAGGACTTCTCGTTGTTCCTATGATAAAGCCAAAACTCTTGGCATTACTTTCAGGTTCTATATGATTTTATTTATTTTCAGACGTTCCTCTCTCACCATGTTCATCTTATTCCTGGTGCTTGCTTTAATGGAAGGCTATGCCCTGAAATCTGAATATTTGTCTCTTTGCCTACTCCTACTCCTTCAATGTTTAGATCATTTATTTATTCTATAGAGGATACAAAGATCTTTGTCCACAAACTCAGTTATGCAAGAAACTTAATTTTTCTAAAATTGAACTTAACTGTTTGTCTCTTTCTAGGAAATAGAAACTAAATTTCAACGTGGGTGATCTTAGTCAATTCAGAATCTCCTCCACATCTTGCCTAGGTTGTATCAATGTTTGAAGGGACCTATGAACTTCCAAGGTGCTGGGCAGTGGAGGTCTCAGTTATCATCATCTGAACATGCTGGCATCTAACATCTATCCACATTCTCATACCCAGTTGACCCTCAAACGTTACTGTCCTTTTTGTTCTTCAGTCTAGTTGTGGAGGATGTCGCTTCGCTGGCCCATGTTGGTATTGTGATCATTGGGCTCTTCCCAGGTGAGGCAGCTCAGTTGCCAGTCATTGGACAGCCGCTCAGGGCGGTTCACAGCAGCTCACTGCAGCAGGGGCTGCAGCCTACATCGTGGCTGGCAACTCATGGCAGCCCAGCTCCAGGTTGAGCTGTTGTTCACCATCTTAGCAGTAGAGGGCGCAGCATCACTGACCCATGTGGCATCCGAACCGGGGCCCTGGTGCTCAGGACTGGTGTCCCAAACCAACTCTTAACCAACGTGCCATTTGGCTGGCCCTAGCCTGAATTTCTTTCAATGCTTGGACTAATGTAGGCTACTTGTTTTTCCCCCCAATATACTTATATATTTATTTCCTATGGCTTCTGTAACAAATTATCACAAATTTAGTGGCTTAAAATAACACACAGTTATTTTCCTCCAGTCCTGGAGGAGTCCTAAATCAGTTTCTCTAAATTGAAATTAATGTTTCGGTAGGGCTGCATTCCCTCTAGAGACTCTAGGGGAAAATCTCCTCCGTCTTTTCCAGCTTCTGGGTGCCGCCAGCATTCCTTGGCTTGTGGCTGCATCATTCCAATCTCTGCCTCTGTGGTCACATTGCCCTTTCTTCTGTATGTGTAGCCTCTCCTGAATCCTTCTTATAAGGATATTTGTGATTGCATTTGGGGGCCACCCAGATAATCCAAAATAATCTCTCTATTTCAAAATTTAATCACATCTGAAAAGACCCTTTTCCCAAATAAGGTAACATTTACAGGCATCAGGTATTAGGACCTGATATCTTTGGGGGGAGGGGCATTATCAATCTGCCACAATTGAGGCCTATATTTACCCATTCTGCTCAAATATGCCAAACTGACTTGTCGTAGTGCATGAACATTTGCAATACTTTCCTTAAATCCCAATGTAAGCTAAACCTGGAAAATTACTTTAACTTTAAAACTTATTTTATTTTACAATAAAAAAATTTTAATTGTTTTGATTCGGTGATAAATGCAAAGTACTGTGTGTAGATTCTAAGACGATCAAGCTATTAAACAATCTGGGATCCATATCATTTGAACAGGGGCTGAAAGGATTGGCTGTATTGAAAAGAGAAGAGAAGAAAAGAGAAGGCTTAAAGGAAGATCACATAGCTTTCTTCATACGAGTATGTATGAAGAAGTTTCACAGAGAACAGAAATTAGGTACATGTTGTGTAGGTTGAATCAGGAACAATTAGTGTAGCAGAGAGAGGCAAATTTCAATCCAAAATGATGAAGAATTCAGAATGGACAGTGGAAGCACTCCTTCAAAATGAAGTCTCTTCCTAATTCCAGGAGTATTTGTGAATGTGTAAAGGCCCTGAGAGGAGGAATACAGAGAGAAGTAGAGAATACATCCTCAGAGGTAGTCATGAGGATAGTTTATAAAAACAAGGTCTCTTTAATGGCTGATTCTAAATAAATATAATATTATCCTTCTCCAATCCATTTTCCAAATTACAGTACAGCCAGAGTGATCTTTTAAAAGTCAAATCAGATTATATCAGTCCCCTTGATTAAAACACTTTATTTGCTGAAAGGTCCTTTCAATTGACCCCCGGCTCCTTGTCAGTCTCATCTGATGCTCTTTTCTCTCTGCGTTCTTATGTTGCTCAACTTTAAATGCTCCTTCCTACCTTTAGGGGGTTGGATGTGTTGTCCTCTCTGCTTGCAAAGTTCTCCTCCCTTCTCATTTAGGTTACTCCTACCCAGAGTTGACATTCTCGTGGAAGACTTCTCTAGCATGCTAAACCAGTTGCAAAATATTCTCAACTTCTTTATCAAGATGAAAACATTCATTGTATAATTGAGTGTGTCTGTCTGCCCTGCTAAAATGTGAGTTCTTGATGATAAAGACGTTGTATCTTGCTCAGCACAATAATTTCCGTGAAGTGTGGTAACCGCTGCTAAAGAAAGTATGCTCACGTTTTGAAATCCCTAACTTGGGGGTGGGGAAAGTGAGGGATGGAAGGACAGAGGGAGAAGGATGGGTGGTCCGGGAAGCCTTTCCGGTTGAAGCTGAGACCTGAAAGGTGCAGAGGAGACTTGGCCGTCTGGGGGAACTAAAAGAAGTTCAATAGTTATGATTTGGGATCCCAGAGAGAAATACTGTCAAGATATTACAGGGGACCTTGACAGTTTGGCTTATAGTGACTCCGGTGTGAGAGGTCATTAGCCATGTGAGCATTGCCTGGGCAAGAGTGATAACGTCCTGCACTTCAGCATTCCACCTGTGCTGGGTTTGCTTCAAACGACTCATTCCTAGTTCCCGCAGGCGCCCACAAAACGCAGAGCACTGGCCTGCAGACGGCGGGGCTCTGCCAGACACTGCACGTAAGAGCTCCTGTCACGTGCAACGTCACCCCAGGATGAGGCCGCAGAAGCTCCGCCCACGTCCAGGCACATTCACTAGGCCGAGTCCCAGGGGCCGCCCGCGGCCGCGGCCGTCACGTGACCCGAAGTGTGACGTAGGAGGAAGGAGACGCCATTAGAGGGAGGCGGAGAGGGAACGTTCTTCGCTTTTCGTCGGGTGCCTGACGTGGTGGCTGGGGCCCTTCATTCTCGGACTTTTCCTCGGCACTTCCAGGCCTCGCCCCAAGCGGGAGTGGAGACGGCGCCCGGGCTCGGCGAACCAGGGCGAGGGGGCCTGCGCCGGTCGTGACTGGGAAGGCGCTGCGGCGGCTGTGGGGAGCTCCGCGCGGCTCTAGGGTTCGGGTGGCGGGGAAGCGACGGGATGGCTGCGGCCGGTGGCGGCGGCAGCGGGGCGGCGGCGGGCCGAGCCTACTCGTTCAAGGTGGTGCTGCTGGGGGAAGGCTGCGTGGGGAAGACGTCGCTGGTGCTGCGCTACTGCGAGAACAAGTTCAACGACAAGCACATCACCACTTTGCAGGTGCGGGCCCCAGGGAGCGGGAGGGGGCGCCTTGGGGCCCCTGCCCCTCCGGGGCCGTGAGGACTCTGCTGCCCTGGTCCTCTGGATCTGGGCTCACAAATCTCAGGCCTGTGACCTCCACATTCGAATCGCCTTTCCAGAGTCGTCCTGGGGACACGCGGGGTCAGGGAAGCCTGTAGACGGAAGGACAGGCTCCTGAGAGGGGAGTGAAAGGGCTCTGAAAAGTGCCCGGTGCCTCCCGTGTGGCCGCGCATGTCGCGGAGCACCCATCATTGGGCCAGTTTTTCCCCTTCGTTTCGCTTCCGCTTGGGCCCTAGGTGCCTTCACCCTGCAGCCTACGAGTGTCATCCCTTTTTTTGCTGTTGTTTCTTTCGGAATTAGGAACTTAGCGGCGGATTTGATTTTGCGAACTAGGTGATTTGTAACTTAGCACTTACTGATGACTAAGGGTTTATGCAAGTTCCATTTTGTCCTGTCTTCGAGTAACGTGCTGATTGGCAAAAGTCATCTCCGGAGGGTTTTTGAAATGACCGCTTGCATGGGTGGATCACAGTGTTCATTGCTACCTACGTGGGTCTGACTTGTGGGTCAGACATATTCTGCGAGGTCGGTGGACCCATATTAACATGGGAACGTCATGTGAATACTGGCTAACCATTGGTCCCCAAACAAACAGCTTTAGCTGCTGCTGTTATTATCGTTGCTTGTAATAGAGAGACCCGGCTTTCTTCTGCAGTTAGGTATGGTTACTCAGAGAGTGTTAGAATGTAATCATTGATTGGGTGAAGCCAGGCCTTTGAGGCACTTGTAGTCTCCCCTCTCCCCCAAAGAAACCCGGTTGCACGTGTTAGAAAGAAAATATCCAGCTAATCTGACTTGATCACTTTATCCAGAGACAGTCAAATCCAGTGGATTTTTGAGCCTGATTGTCTAGGTTCATATCCTGCCTCCATCTGTTTGATCTTGGGCAAGTTAATCTGTCCCTGTCTAAATTTCTTCATCTGTTACAATAGCCATAATAATGATATCTATCTAGCTCATTGTGTGTCTGAACAAATAATCGTAAAAGACTCAGGACCTGGTCCAGTGTAAGCTCTCCATCTTTATTATTACTGCCCCAAACTGCACAATAGATTTTAATTAGATTTTAATAGATTTAATTGAGTGTGTGAGAACATGGACACTATTTAATAGAATGCACCATCTTCTAATTGTTGTGACATTTGATGTCTGATGCTATTATTAAACTACTGAGTCTAGAATTTACAAAGATGCTCTGGTTCTGATTCCATGTTCTATTTTTACTCCTCTGTTTTTAGTCCTCCTGTGTAAAGCATGACATCTGAAAAAGTTAATGTCAGGAAACTCTTTTTTTTTTTCTTACATCCTTGTACACAAGCACCTACACAATTTTAATAGTGAATTGATACTGTTGAGTGTTACTAGTGAGTTTCATAGGGTAAATACTTATGGTCACTTGGAAGTTTAGAAATTCATTTAGGTGAAGTACTAACAGTAACATTTATCGAGTTCTTAATGTGCTGAGTATTTCATGTTTCTTCTGTCATTTAATTCTTATAATAGCCTTTAAGGTGGATGCCTTTATTAGCCCCATTTTCCAGTTGATGAAATAGGCTTGGTTAAGTTGAGTAATTTGTTGGCCAATATATTGCCACAAGTCATGCTTCTGAAGCTGAAATTTGAACCCAGATCTAACTTCAGATTTTGAGCAGTTAAGTCACATTGCCTCTGGATATTGGTAACCACCCCTTTAGTGGTTTCCTTTATGCTACAGATGTAAGATAAAAGAGAAGATCATTGTGATTGAGCTCTCAATTTTTTTAAAAGATAATTTAGCCCTTCAACCTAAAAATTACACTTTCATTATACATTCTAAAGACACCATCAAAACTAAAAGCAGGCTAAAGATTTTTAAATATCTGAGAGAAACCACTGCTGGAGACTGCCCATAGGAGGTCTACTCACATCCTCCTCAGCTCCAGGAAGAGGTCCCAGAAGCCCAGCCATGTCCAGTCACATCCTCTTGACCGAAACCCAGGGACATACACAGGATCCTGTGCAGTCTACACGGGAGAGGATGAAAGTATAGATCTCCAGCATCAAAGCATAGCAGTCCTGATTTTGATGTTTGTATAGCTCATCACAAACAGTATCTGGATTAGATTACAGAATTGAGGATTTTATTGCATACCAATGTATGGAAATAGTATTACAGTAAAACCTTGGATTGCGAGTAATTTGGTTTGCGAGTGTTCCATTCCGCAAGACGAACAAATATTTCTAATACATTTTAACGAGGTAAATGAGTGATGTCTTGGAATACGAGGGTTTTTTTCCGGAATGAATTATGCTCGCAAACCAAGGTATCACTGTATATCTAATCTCTTTCTCTTAGATTCCAGTTCATTTCATCTTAATTTTTTTGGAGAAATTTTACTTCAATGTGACCTGTAAAACACAACCTTGTATGCTTTTAATTTCCCAACGGAGAGATCATGCATCAGAAGATATGAGAGGAAGTGTGTGTCAAGAACTACCTACTACCTATCTTTGTAAAATACTTTAAGTTTTGCAAAGTACACTCATGCATTCATATTTCAAGTAATTATAGGACTGAGAGGAACCTAAGATAGTTTATGGTTTGCTGTTTCAGTCTTTTGTTTAATATTTCATCAAGCGATTGTTCACTTTTGTCTGTATGTCTTGGAGGTGTGATGAACTAATATAGAGAGTAGAAAACTATGTCCTAAGGTGGCCCATTTCATTTTTAGACAGGTTTAATTTCCAATAAGTTTTTCTATGTGTAAAGCCAAAAATCTGTTTCCCTGTAGTTTCCAGCCCTGGTTCTGCCCCGTGAATCTTCATTGCACATGACATCCCTTCTAATAGTTGAAGATAGCTTATCACATCCTCAGTCTTGTCTTGTCTTAGGCAAACAGCTTTGGTTCCTTTAACTGGATCTCCTATGATACCAGCCTAAGTCATTTCACTATTTCAACATCTTTTCTAGACACTCACCATTTAATCATTGTCCTCTTTCCTTAAAATGTGATGCCTTGAGTTGTAGAAATGATTCCAAGTGTCTTGAACTGAACGAAGTACAGCCTATCACCTCCCCCCTATTGAAAGAGAATCCTTTTCTAACACTGAAGTAGAAAAGGTTCTACGATCTTTTGGGGCAGCTGCCACATTGATTAATATTGGGCTATCTTAGTCTTACTTGCTTGGGGGGAGGGAAAGTGTTACATCCCTCAAATTCTTTTTTCCTGTATCTTGTAACATTTTTTTTGTCCCTGATGTATTTGAACCATTAAAGTTGGCTTTGATAGATATGCTTCAGTGGTTAAAGCCTGTTAATAGCCTTTTAAATTTTAATTCTATAGTTCAAGAAACGTTGAGCTCCTGTGATTCAGGCCCTTGGTTGGGTCTTGGGCATGCAAAGAAGAATAAGGCATGGTCCCTACTTTCTGGATTGGCTACTCATTTTAACTTTATCCCCTGATGATTTTGGTAGGAATGTCTTTAATCTCTCATCAGGTCATTAACAAAGACTTTGAAAGAAAAGGGAGAGAGAGGGCCAAGCACAAAGCTCTGCAGCAGTTCTCACTGTATTCCAGTGATGTGTGACCAGAGGTATATGTTTCTTTAGACATGCGGAATTTTAGGGTGGGGCTTTTTCAGACTGTGCATGGGCCACAGTTTTCTTTCTCCTTGCATGAGAAGCAGTTATTAATGCAGTGTTGTACATATTAGTGATAATGGAAGCAGAAAGCAGCTTAAGATTGACGGCTATGGGCTACTACCTAGTGGATACAAAGCCTTTAATGAAAATGGTTATTCCAGCATTTCAGATCTAACTTTTCTGCCCTGGCTAAATCACAGTTGCCCACAGGGAATGTCATGAGGTGCTTTGTCAGATTCTTGAAGACGACAGATACACTGTGTTTTTTCTGTATTAGGAGGCTGTATGATGTGGTAAAAAGAGAAAAGCTTTTAAAGTTAGACCTCGGTTTGGATTTTGGCTCCTACTTTGCCATCATGATCTTGGCAGGTAATTTTACTGTTTGTAAGCTGGCTGTTTATGTATAAAATGGGAGAGTCTTACTAATAGGATTTTTATGTGAGTTAAATAGAGAGCCATCATATGTAAAGCTCCTACCACAGTGTCTGGCACATGTTTGTTAAATATTTGCTGTTGAATAGATGGTGTCCCCTTCCCCGATTCCCCAACACTGTTCTCCTCCCCCAATTCCCCAATAAAATCTTAAATAAATAAATACATATAAATACATAAATAGATGGTGCTTACTTTGGGTGGTTTCTTTATAGTAACTCAGTCAAAAAGGTAATGGAGTTAATTTGACATGAATTATTTTGAGAACCCATGTCGTCTCTGAGGGATCACTACATTTTTTAATTGCTTATAGATTATATATGTATATATACATACATACATACATATATACATACACACATGTATTTGTTTATTATCCATTCTAGAGTTTGGGCTGGGATTGCCATTTCTGGAAATTCACTTCTTTTTTGAAAAGTGTAACGTTTGCCATGCTTTGGTGTTTTAGTACTGCTTCCTTTTTGCAGGTTCTCCTAGGTTACTGATAATTATGAAGTAATCTTGTGGGTGAGCTCTCCGAAAACTTAAGATCCTTTCTTTACCCAGCCCAGGAAACTTGATCTTATGTAGAGTCCCCAGGTTCTCTTATGTGATTTCTCTGCTGATTTGGGGCTTTGATAGAATTGACAGGGACAGGAAAGACAATTGGAATAAGGTAGTTACTGCTTTTTCTTTGGCAATAATGCTGAACCTAAGCAATTAAATTCAGGAATTGTTTATTTGTATAGTAAACATTGTGCTACCTGGGTAGTGTAAAGATAAATAAGATGCTTTTAACTGTCAATCAGCGCTCTTGATTTTACATATTCTTGAATGTTTGTGCCATTTTGATTATAACTACTTGTCT